ACGTTGAAAAAAAAAATTAAAAAAAAAAAAAGAAGTTACTAAATGCCAGCTGCTGTTTTCTATAAGGTCTTCATGGTGTTTCATTATTTGATCCCCACAACTTGAGAGTCTCTGTGATTGTTGCAGAGATGGAGAAACAGAGTCAGAACAGTTTCCTCGAGCCCAGACAGCCCCCAGTGTCACAGACTTGCGAGGCCCTACACACACAAAGCAAATAAACCCACTTAGTGCAGTCAAACGCCAGGATGGCGAAACACACCCCTCTTGTTACTATGAGCAACGGTGAGGGTGCCTATCTGTGGCCCGTTTCCCACAGGACAACAGAGGAGGACGTGGGCTCAGGGTCCCCCGTCATTCCATGGAGCCCCCACTGCTCAGTCGACAGCTCTCTTTAAATACCCATGGTCTTGCTCATTAGAAATCAGGCTAAATCTGATACTTGGAGGATGAACAGTAGCTCCGTTGAGCCCAGAGAATTTGGCAGGTACAGGGCTTTGGCTAGATTTACTCTTTGTGACCAAGTTTCCCAGGAAAACTTCAAAGTGAGCGTCCTCCTGCAGAGCCCTGGCGGGGGAGGGGTCATCAGGCACCTTTGCTACTTTTGACCCTCTTTGGCAAGATTCTGGTGGATGCTGGAAGGCCTGGCCCTGACCAGCCCTGGTCCCAGCTGGCCTCTGTTTCAAGTGCTGCATGGATGTTTTTAAATTAGGTTCCATCTCTACAGTCTGGCTCCCTTTCCTCTTCTGAGTCTGCAAAAATAACCGTGCGAGGGTTTAGTCCATGAAGAAGGCACGCACGTCTTTTACACGAGCAGGTGATGATGCTTTGGAGAGACAAAGAAAGAGACCTGGATGCATTACCGACAGTGAAATCAGTGTCTGTGTGTCAACTCCTCCTTCCCTCCAATCTTGCCCTGTTCACTTCCCGACACGTGTCTTTCTTGGGAGCCTCCTGGGAATGCACTTCTCTGTTGCAGATCTGTGTCCAGGGATGCCAGTCTAAGCCCATGGAGAGGGAGAAGCAGTGAACCCACCTCCAAAAGGAGGTGTTTGAGGGGGCCTTGAACTTCCTTAAATTTGCATTCTGCTCTTATTTGCTCCTCATACAACCCTACCAGAAAGAGCCTCTCGCTTTCTCACTTGGTAGCTGTGGAGAGCAAGCGCTCAGAGACAAGTGACACACAGCTGCCAAGTGGCAGGACCAGGACTTCACCTCTGGTCCCAACCTCCGAATCCAGGCTCGCGGCCTAGAGCTCTCGCCCGTGTGGCATTTTGAGGGTTACAGAGCATTTTCACAGACACCCGCCTTCACGGCCGTGACTTGGGCAAGACGGCCATGGTTCTCTCCTTTGGACTGATTATTTGCAGGTGCTTTGGATTGTGCCGAACTAAAACCAAGAGCACAGGGCCGGAGGCCTAGGGACTTGATGAAGGGTGAGAACACAGGAGGGGGCCCATCAGGGACTCCAGTGCCAGCCTCTAGGAGAGCAGCCGGCAAGCTGGTGGGTCTCTGTGAGCTATGCTCTCAGACCCATCAACTCGTCTTACGTAGACAATGATGAAACATGGCTCGGCTTTTTCCCCCCATGAAGACAATAAGGAGGAAGGAAGCTGCACATTGCATAAGTCAAAGATCATTCCATTTTGCTCCCCTCTTTGTCCCTGGTGCCTGACTGGCCCGCACAGGCCCCAGTGCACACTAGTACTGATGGTGAGGATGGTAACATTTGTGTCACACTTATTCTCCCCCCTGCGTGGCTTCTGAGCACTTCATGTCTATTTACCCATTAAGTCCTCATGTCCCCCAGCTGGAGAAGTGTTGCCATGACCCTTCTTGTGCAGATAAGGAAACCAGGCACGGAGAGATGGGAAGTAAACAAGCATTTAAGGAATGAATGAATGAATGAATGATCAGAGTCTGATCATGCTTCGAGTTACAGACACGGAAGCAAAACTACAACCTGCTGAGGGCCAGCGCAGGGCTAAAGCATGGGTTGTGGACTATCTCCTAAAATCCTCTTTCAGCACTCCCGATGAGGCTTAGAAGATCAACCCCAGTTTATCCACCAGGGAATAGAGCCCGGCGGAGGTATCGGGCCCCGCAAATTGAGAGAGCCGGGACTCACCCCAGGTGTGTCCACTCCAAAGGTGGCGTCCCTAACACTTAGCTGTTCTCCTGTTTCCCTGTGGGTCCTCGAGCTAAGGGCTGTACGTACCCAAAACACAGAGGAGAAAACAAAACTAAAACGACCCGAGTGTCCAAGCAGCTGCCACAAACGATCTTATTTTAGACACCATTCCAGCAAAAGGTGTCAGCTTCTGTTTTCTCGGACCCGGCAGTTGAATGGGAAGGGAGTTACAGTGGCAGCCGTAACCGGGAAGGCAAGGGAGAGAGAGGAGTGATCACAACGATAAATGACCAGGCCTATGAACCCAGGGCCATTGAGTGTAGGGACAGACGGCTCTAGCCGCATCAACACTAGTGCACCTGAAGTAGTTATTGGCTTCCGGTCGCCAAGAAAAGGCTGCATCGTGGAAGGGACCGTGAAGGTGCAGAGCAAAGAACTTGAGATTCTAGGTCGGAGAAGGGGGTCGGAGCAAGCCTCCATCACTCCCTAGCAGAGCCCTTTAAGCTCCTGGAACCTTAGCTTCATTATCTGTGAGGTGGAGACAATGGTCTTGGCCTCCCGCGGACCGCCAGCAAGCTTCAACAAGCTCCTGAAGTTGAAAGCCCTTGGTCAACAGTAGCCAAGGTGAGTTACCGTGTTTGATATTTTCTGCTCAAGAAGACTGGGGAGTAGGCGCATTTATGGATGTTTTCCAATAATATGCGGCACTTCCAGAGGTAAATTTCATTACCTGGAAACTTCCCTCTTGCAGGTCCCCCTGGGAAGCTGGTGCATCAGGAGGCAAGCTCTCTCCACCAGAGCATGCACTCAGTCCTCCTTCCACTTAAAGATTATCCACAGTCTCAATCAACACATCTGATGAGATTGAGGGCAGAATAGGACACTGGGTATAGACTCCAGAATCTAGAAGTTGCTAGTTCAAAAAGAGGCCAAGTGCTCTTTGGGGACAAGCTGCTGAGAAACTGAAGCTCCTGGCTTCAGCCCAGCCCCTGGGGCAGGTCATTTAGACTTCAAACCACATATCCCTGGGGAACACCAAATGGCAGCTAGCTGGGTCTCTCAGTGGAAAAGCCACTGTGGAATCAGCATTGCCTCTTCATTAATTTTATTCTCATTTGCTGAGCGCCTACCATGAAGCAGGCACTGTGTGGGCAAAGCAGGGGGCTCAGACACAGGCAAGTTCCTGCCCTCAAGGAGCTCATAACCTACGGAAGGAGAGGCACCCTGTAGGATGAAACCAACATGATAATGAGCGTTAACCCTCACCAAGCACTCACAACGTGCCCAGCACTGTGCTAAGACTTTTACATGTATTATCTGATTTCACCCCCACCGCAATCCCATTCTTACGCCCTACATTCTGTAGAGGTAGAAACCGAGGTCCAGAGCAGTGTAATCAGCTACCCAAGGGGTGGAGCAGAGATTCAAACTCAAGCCTTGACTCCGGGGGCCATGCCTGCAACCTCACGACCAGCACAATAGGTGGGTACAGGTAAAGGTGCCATGCGGGAATGCCAGGGTGGGGGTGGGGCACAGGGTGGGCTTTGGAAGCAGGTGGTTTAGGGTTTGGAAAGTGCTCTGCCACTCATTAACTTGAAGGATCCTGAGGGTCAGTTTTCTATGGCACAGGAGGCCAATGATGCCTTTCTGGACGAGAGCTCTGAAAGAGGAGCTTGCCTGGGGAGGGTGCATGGTGCCATCTTGGGCATGTTCCACTGGACCAGAAGGGATCAGCAAAAGCCCATGAGGTTTGGGGGTGGGGAGGAGGTGGTCAGGAAAGGGCTTCATGGAAGAGGTGACTTTTAACATTGAAGGATGGATAAATTTGGATTAACTTCAAGGAAGGAAGCAGGATGGGGCAGGCATGACCCTAGAGAGAAAAGGCTGAAGGTCCATTTGGGGAACAAGCTGGGGAGAAAGGAAACCGTGGCTGGGAAGGAGGATGAGTCCACATTTAATTTTTCAGGGCAGAGACCTCTGGCCACGTTTACTGAGAATCCATTCGTGTGCCAGAGACCAGACATTATAGGGTTTGTCCTTTGAAGACATGCTCTTTAAAGAAAGAGAGGACACAGAAGTAGCCAAGCCAGCAATCTCTTTAAAGAGCTGGAAGGCACAGCAATTGGCTGGTTGGTTTCCTTTCCTTCCCTCCAGCCTCCCCTGGCACCGTGCGTTACGTGGCCCCAGGGAGCAAAGGGCACATACCACTAAATACTAAGCAGCCCCTGGGCATAGGCAACATTTTACTGGATACTGGGACACACACACACACACACACACAAACACACATAGGGGGTGAGAAGCCAATCTGACTTTCCAAAAGATTGCATAATTCTTAGGTGATATTAAAATAGCTGATGAAGGATCTACTTTAATCTTTTTTGGGTGGGCGTTGAAGGCCTTAAGAGCATTGCTTAGATATTTCTGACAGAATCATTTACAAGAACTAAGCCACCAGCCGGGAGCTTCAAAGCCAACAGCTCGTAAAACCGCCACCTCCTGCACCTTCTTGGGGCCTCAGACACCACCCTGGCTGTGGGGGGTGGGGGGAGGGGGTGACCCTAGCAGGAGGCCTGCCCACCAGCAGCTCCCACAGATCACGTGCTGCTTTTCTGAGAAGGGAAGAGACATCACTGCTGAAATGATTCCCCCACCCCCACCCCCCACTTCCCAGATGATCCACCGCCCCTCCAGGCCCAAAGAACTTCCTGTCTGCGACAATCATTTGGCACATAATCATGTCCAGCCTGTACCCACTCTTCCATTCTTGGCTCAAATTGTATTGAAAATAATCTTATTTGTAACTTTGGGTGTGTGACATGCCCCCCCCCGCCCCCCTCCACCACCACCAAATTGTGAATATCTTGTAGGAGGGTCAGAGTTGGACCCTATTGCAATCCTGTGTCCATGCGTCCAGGATGGACAAGATAGTACATATTTGGCCACAATGCCAGGTAATAAGTCCTAATTCTTTCCTCCGGTAATCTGGTTCTTAGATGTCGATTAACATTATCTGCCAACAACAGAGTCACTAAGTTATTCATCTGTATGTTCCAAGAGTCTAGTGCTGTGCCTGGCAGGCAGGCAATAGACCAGTAAGGACCTTTTCTAAAGCTATCTTAAGTCCATTTTGGAAGCAAGTCTTCATCCGACAAGTTGGGGTCTGAAGGGTAAGTGGGCATTAGGGAAAAAGAGGGAGGAGGCGAAGTTCGGGGAGGGTGGGGAAGAATCTTCCAGACCTAGGGGACAGCGGGAGCAAAGGCCTGGAGTGAGGGGAGGGTGTGTATGTGTGTGGCCCTGTGGCAGGGGGGAATGGGCTTCAGGGTCGTCTGCAGGAGCTGGAGGTCTTGGACGGAGTCAGAGGACGGGTCTCCTCCCATTGGAGAAGGAGGGAGGAAGGAAAGCAGGCAAGTGTGTAATCTGATGTCAGAGCACCAAGAAGGCTTCCATAGGATGGCTTCTACTTTGTCTCTGAGGAGGGAAGGATTCTTCTGAGTGGGAGGAGGGCGGGGGAGAGGGGAGAGGTTTCAGGAGAGAGGACAAGGTTTGCAATAACCCGGGAGGAGAAAGGAGACACAACTGAACTGGGGGGAGTTGGAAGGATTTCTGAGTGGGGGTTGAGGGTCCGGTAGAGGTTGGAGACCACACGTTTCCATTAGGGCAACATCTGTGGTGGGTCAAGGATTCGTCAGCACCCTGGTAGAGGTGGACTGATGGAGTTTCAGCAGATGGGAGGGATGAAGAGACCAGTGGGACAAGGGCAGGGGCGATAATGGCCCAGGTAAAGGACCATGGATGGGCTGGACAGAGTAGGGCAGAAGCAGGTTGGTCTGCAGGGGGAAAGCCCAGAAGGCAATGGACTGGAGTTTCCAGACAAACGTGGTAGGCTAGCCTGGAGTTGCTGGAGGTATAGGGGTGGTGGTTGGGGTGGGGGTCATCGTAGCAGGGGCAGATGTGGTTGATAACAAGGGTCCAGATGCCACGGGGAATGGGGATGCTCATGTGGCAATGGGGGTCACGGAAGTGGTGCTGAAGGAATTGCACTGAGGACACACAAGGCAGACAAGTGGCCCAACTCAACAGGTGCCCTAAAAGCAGCCACGGAGTTTCTAGGGCTCCCAGGAATCAGTCCAGCAGCTTCTCCCCAACCGGGGTCACACAGAGAGGGTGGGGGCCTGCCCCGAAGCCAGCAGGCAGAACGCTGTCCTGCCCGGCGCCCGCAGGCCAAGGGTCACCTCCCCCAGGAGAGGAGCCAGGAGGCCCCCCAACCGCGCGACCTTGCCGCCCAACCGGAAGCACGTGGCCCCCTCCGGCGCGGTTGCCGGGGAGACGCCGGCTGTTTACCAGCGGGACGTGGCCAGGCGACCGTGGCTAATGAACCAGCGGCGAGGTGAGCGTGCCCGCGCCCGGCGACGAGGCAGGCCTCCCCGGCCCCGACCCTGCGGCGACCCGGCGGCGCCCTCGGGGGAACAGGACGGGCCCCGGGGGGAAGCGGGGGGAAGCGGCGACTCCCGGGACCAAGCCAGCCCGGCCCAGCTCACCGTTGCTGGAATGGGACAACTCCTGGGAAAGCGCGGGCCGTGCCCTCCTGGCTGGGCAGTACGGACGGGGACGCAGACCCACAGGGACACACGGAGAGACCGGAACCAGATCAGAGCCTCCCCCAGACCCAAGGCACCTCTCACTTTCTAGACGTTCTTGCTTCCTTGCCCCTCCCCCAAATGCCTGCTTCTGCCGTTCCAGTTTGTTTTCTTCTAGAGCTGCCAGTACTTGGAAATAATTGAGCTCTCCTCCTCCACCTACCCCCTCCCCACACTGCTGTTGCAACCATCGCCACTGCCTTTTCCAAACCTTTGATCACTTGGTGGCTTGTGGTCCAGTTTCTCCACTCCCCCTTTTAAACAAGGCACTGTGCGTGGGACGGTCCATTCTGATCATTTCGTCAGGGGTAGAAGTGGAAATAGTACCAGAGTTTTGTCCTGCTCAGGCCAACCCCTGTCTCCTGTTAGTTCTTCTGAGCACTTTCATCCTGCAAGTCCCGCCAGGGAGGGCTGGGGGTTGGCAGGGGATACTATTAACTGATAAACATTTTTAAAAGACCAATTCAAATGTATGCATCCTTGATGGGTATCAGCAGATGGTATGTGGGTGGTTATATTTTATTGCCTTTACTGTGGGTTTCGATTTGGGTTGTGAGTGATAGGAGGTGGTCTGACCCTGTGATGCGAGGCCGGCTCCCTTGGAAAGCAGGAATATGGCCTCCGCCTTTCCCATCACACGTTCTTTGTTTCCCGTTGATTTGGCGATTAGTCTCAAGGAATGGGCGCCTGCTCTTTGGCAATTCCCTGGAAACAGTTATCAGTGTTTGTTTTCCTGACTCCTCGCTGGCCTCTGGGGCGCAGCTATTCTGTTTAAGTAAACAGGCCCCTTGCCTATTCAGCTGGCAGCTTGACGGATGCCTACGCCTAGATCTTGTCAAATCACTTTGTGGTTGAGAATCTGCCAGGACTAGAGGTGGGGAAAGGAGCTGAGCAGGCGTAATGACGGGGGCTGCACAAACCTTCCTGGACCGAGGGGGGTGGGCAGAGCCCGGGACTATGGCACAAAGTGTGGGAACAAAGGCAAGGTTGGACCAGGTCCCCAAACACCTGTTTCCCCCACTTTCCTTCTCCATGGGGTAGATGCTGGGGAGAGTTGGTGTTCCCTCCATGTAACAGATGGTCCCTGCACTCGGGAGGAGGCAGTGGGTTATGAAAGCAGGTTCGATGGAACGGTTTTACCTGAAGGAGGTGTTAGTCTCTAAATAACCATGAGTGGGCTTATAGGAATTAGTCATAATTGAGGTTTTTCTCTGAGATAGCTCGCAGTCATGTTATCTTATGACCAGGGTGTCTTGAATATGACACCCCCCCCCCCGAACATGGATAATTATATAGTACCAAAAGGTATAGAAAGTGCATGCACATACTGTTAAAAATAATCCAGCAAGGAGCCTGGGAGAACACATGACTTTTCCTCATCAAAGTTGTTAAGGAAGAGGTTTCTAAGTTACCAAACTTACTGACAGTTAAACCTTCCCGAGGCATGTGTGGGAGTGAGAAGCCAAGTCTGTGATAATTCTGTAGAAGCTGTGGCAAATTAATAGCCACTCCTCGAGGGGGGAGGGTGGGCCGAGAAGGGGAGTTGGTTCCTCGCTGGAGTTTATCTCGGGCAGAACAGTTGGACAGTTATGACCCCCTCTGTCATCCTGAGTTCAAGGGCAGAGCTGCTTAATTGCAAGGGAAAGACTTCAGAACTAAGCGAATGGGTGGGGGGTGGGGGGGGGGTGGAGGGAGGGACCACACACGCTTCACAGTTGATCAGAAAATAGATTAAATTAACAAGGAGATGGGCAGACTTTTTTGGTGCCGGGGAGAAGGTTCCTGAACTCCCGGCAGCCAGATTGGGTGTGAAAACCTAGCTAGAAGTGTGGAGAGACCCAGTCTGTGGATAGACTAGAACAAACACAGAGGCCTTTACATTAAGAGAGAGAGGGCAGATTTTGAACTGAGTAGAGCTTCAGGAATATACAGGAAGACTGTGTTTTGTCTGGTTTTGGTTTTGCCGGAGAGGGAGAGGATTCTTTCTAAAATTTGGCAATATTGGTAACATGCACAGAACGGTAACGTTAGAATGGAAAACTGCGGGGCGGGCATTGCATCGTTCAGGATCGTGTGACGAAGGTAGCTCTGAGTGAGTTTGAGCTAAGGATGCAATTAGAGTGTGGAATCAGAAGGCATGTATTAGAAAGGCATTATTTTGCATTTTTGAGGCAAGTTCATAGGCAGCAGCTCATTGAAATCAACCTTCCAGTATTTCTGGGCGGTGGGCGGGGCGGGTGTGGGTTCCATGATCTGCCCAGTGGGTTAGAGGTGACTAGGAGTAGAACCACCAAGGGCCCCCTGGGGAAAAAGCTCTGAAGCAACAGGTAAGGCATTTGGACCTAAAATAAGAGAAAGCACTGGACAGACAGAAAACCAAAAACACAAGCAAAAGAACCTTCCCACCTAGTAAGCCTTTACCGTGCATACGCCAAGCCCGGTGCCTACAGCCGTGGTTACATTATCTCATATTACTGTCATCGTGTTGTAGATAAAGGGACTGATGTTAGAGGTATTTACACAATGTCTTCAAACTCAGATGGCGAATTCTATAGATTAGAAAGAGATGTATCGGAAAGGGAGAATGTCTGTCCCCTGGCTACACAGCTAACTCTGCAGAGCCTGAAATAGAACCCAGGTCTTACTGTACCAGGTCCTGTGTCCTTTGCATCCAAACACGTTGCTTCTTGGGGACCGTGAGGCCCTGGGCAGTTACCGGACGGTCTTTAGAGGGTGGAGAGAGACCTGGTCAGCCTGTGGGCACAGAACAGCAGTGTGGTTGGTGGTGGTCAGGATTCGGAGGGAGGAGGGGAGTCTGAGACATCCAAGTGTCCTGGGAAGGATGTAACCAGGTGGTGGTAACTGTGTTAATGAAGGGGCCGCCAAGATGGTGAGGAAGGACACCTGACCTGGCAATTCGGGCCCGCACACAGAAATGCCCGTGCCTCTGGGGAACCCACCTTCTGTGTGGTTTTGCTAAGCACTCACGAGCACCCCTAGCGGGAGACCCAGACACTGAGGCCCTCAAAGTGTTACAAGGTAGCTAGGAAGACAGAAGGCGAAGCCTGGTCCTCCAGAACAGGACCAGGTGTCACAAGACCTGGGTTCTATTTCAGGCTCTGCTTTGTGACCCTAGGGCAATTGCTCTGCCTTTCTGGCTCATGCACCTGTAGAATTTGCAAGTGCCCAGAGTCCCCTGGGGAGTTGGTCTAGGACAGGGCTTGGTAAATGATGGCCCACGAGCCAGATCTGGCCCGCTGCCTGTTTTTGTGTGGCTCACGAGCCGAGACTAGGTTTTATACTTTGAAGTGATTGAAAAAACTAAACCAAGAAGAATATCCTGTGCCCCATGAAAATTATATGAAATTCTAAGTTCAGCGTCCATAAATGAAGTTTTATGGGAACAGAGCCACGCCCATTCATTTACATCCTCTCTGTGGTGGCTGTCCCACTAAGAGGGCAGATTTGCATAGTTGTGACAGACCCTATGGTGGGCAACACTGAAAATATTGGCTGTTTGGACATTTACAGAAAAGGTTTGCTGACCTCTGGTCTAGAACCCACGTACCTCCCTGTGAATTCTAGCCAATGGGTGGATCAGCAAGGTGGGGAGGTTCGGGGGCAGGGGGTGCTGGGGGTGGGTGCGTGGGAGCACTGTTCTTCCTTTTCCCTCCCCTCTCCCTCCCCACCTGGTGACAAAGTGAGGGCAGTGGAGGGAGGATTTTTTTTTACATTGATTTGTGCACAGCCACCTGGCAAGGTTGAAAGAAAAGGCAAGAGGAAGGAAACTGAAGTAAGGTCAAGCTGTGGGTAGACAGGAAAAAAGTCAGGACTACGGGAGCAAGGGGAAACGGGTCAGTGGCTAAAATGGCAAGGTTGAGTCATTGGAACACAGATCACGTGGCCCCCAAAGCCAAAAACATTTCCCAAACAAGTTAGCCAGCCCTGCTGTAGATTGTGACATGACCTGTTGCTTCTCATCAGTCTGGTCTCTCAGCTTAAAGTCCACACCCCACCCCCCAACCCCATAAGAATAAGAATTCGTCTCCCACCCTAGTTACCATCTAGTGCACACTTGTTTATTTTCTTCACGGCAACTATTACTCATTGAAAATATCTATTTACTTGTAGGCTCAACACCTGTCTTCCGTCACTCTTGGTTCACTGATGGTTTTTTTTCCAAGTAATTGAAATGAATGAATGAATGAATGACTGAATTGCAGCCAGTGCCCCTCTTCCCATGCCAGAAATCCAGAGGGAAGCAGCTAACTCCCAGCCAGTTGGCACTAATTCTGGCACCCGGGGGAAGGGGGTGGTGGTGTGAATGGCTTGGATCGGGGAGCCCCAGGAAGTTTCATCCACGGCTTCTCTTTTCTTTTCTCCTGCTTCCTTAGGGGTCTTGAGAAGCAATGGCCACGGAAGCCCCGGTGAACATAACTCCCCCTGAACGCAACGCTGTTGGCCGCACAGCAGCTGACAGCTTCATCTGGCAGCCAGACTCCATAAACATGCACCTCACCAGGCCCAAATCCGCCAAGGGACGGACGCGGCCGAGTCGGCACAAACCGCAGGACGCGGCGCTGTGCTCTCACCGCGCGCCGGCTTCTCTGCCTCCAGCCATTCGCTGTGAGTCGCCAAGCAGCCAGAAGCCAGGAGCCTGTGCACCCAGATCTCCAAGCCCGGGAGCTCCCGATGAGATCCCTGAGCTGCTGCAACAGGTGCCCCTGGCGGCTTCCTCTTCCCTCAATAAATACCCAGTCCTTCCTTCCATCCACAGGAAGACGCTGGAGGAGGGGGCCATGGAGACTGTCGCTCGAAAGGCCAGCTCCCTGCAGCTGAGCAACACCCAGGCTCTGTACCGAAAGGAGGAGACCGGCACTGTGAAGACAAGTGAAGAAGGTCCCAGAGCTCCATCTTGTTCCCCAGAGAGGAAAGCCATTGGCCGAGCCAGGAGACAGGCCTCCTCCAGGGCTGGAGACCTGAAGGAGCCATCAGAAGGGGAGCCACGGCTGCTGCTTGCGGTCAGGTTGCCGTCGGGCCGAAGGTTCGTTCGCTATTTCCGGCCAACTGATGACTTATCCAGCGTTGTGGCCGTGGCTGAACACGAGGACCAGGCTGCCTACCACCACTGCAGCATTGAAACGATGGAGGTGCCCCGGAGACGTTTCTCTGACCTCACCAAGTCTCTGCAGGAGTGCAGGATCCCCCACAAGTCGGTGCTGGGCATCTCACAGGAAGAAGGGGAGGAGTGGCCCTGAGCCCACAGCCACCCAGCTGGGGCCCTGGGGCTCTGAGTAACGGGCACGCTTGGGTGCTGTGACCTCCCAGGCAGCTCGGTTCCAAGTGCCACGTGAACCTGCTGCCGCTGTGATCGTTGGGGCTCCCTCTCCACGGCATCTCCTTTGGAAGCAGCGAAATTTGTACATGCACCCGGGGCACTGAGAAGGTTCTCCTCCAGTTCTTCAATCCTTCCCACCCCTGGAGTGAACCGGCAGGTTGCCAGGGACGTTCCTGAAACTGCTGTGACCAGGCCTCCTCCTCCCCAGAGTTCTGGGTCCTTTCAGGAGCACCTGCCTGCCTTCCCAACGAACCCTCCCTCTCTTGAAGCCAGTGGTTTGCCTTTCTGTATTTGATGCAGGATTAAACACTTCCCAGAGAGGCTTCTAGTCTGGTAAATAACCAGGGCTCAGGAAATGTCGAACTGGCATTTGTATTTCTTGCAAGCATCTTTAAGAAACTGGCAGTTGATGCTATCTTAGAAGCAGCAACTGTGCTGGGATCGGGTGGCTAGAGTTTCTTGGGGATTACTGTTTGTGTGATGTGGCTTCAGAGGAAAGACTTGCTAATACAAATCCCCCAACACATCGGCATTTCTGAAATAGTCTTGGAGCTAGAAAGTAAATTGCGTCCACAACCATGGATTAGCTCAGTAGCTACTTTTAAATAGAGACTAAGTAGGTTTGCAAATATTGGTAACTACTCTATGTATGCAAAACTCTTCCCAAACAGAAAGGCCAGTGTAATCTGATTGCCCTTTCAGATTTCCCTTTCTGATTTCCCTTTTTGTCACTCGCGGAATCTTTTGTTTTTAAATCATATAAATCTACAAGTCTGTGCATGTTTGCGCTGAAGGCCCCCTTGGCTTATCTGGGTGTGGATACAGATTTTTATCTCCCGGGTGTCTCATCTACTTCAAACATGGAGACTCCCTAGAGCGAGGACAGCGGTGCCCCTGTTCTGTGATCTGGTAACCTCCAGGGGACAAGGGTGCCTCAGGCGGGTGTCACTGTATTGCACCTGTTCCGAGAGACCACGTGCCTAAGGGTCTGTCTGATTGGCATGAAGTGCATCTGAATGCCTCAGCCCGTAGCTGTGCTCTAGAGCATAGAGTGTTGGTTTTCCAACTCTCAAGTGGTAACGCGGACAATTTGCCAAAGTTCTCTTGTATTGGGAGCTTAGCGAGACTTCCACCTCTCATCTGGATCCTCTTTACGGCCAAATCACCCTTCAGAGCAGGGAAACATGTCCCTCAAGAGCTCAGCCATCATGAAGCCCCGAGTACTGATGTGCTCCCTCTGCTCCTGGGTCCACAGAGAAGGCAGGAGTTCTAGAAGCATATCAGTGTTTCGGCCTCAGCAACAAGTGCATCTTGTGCCTAGATAAGGAACGTGGCTGGATTCGTTACTTCCAGCAAATCGCTACTCAGCCACGGAGATTAGCACCAACGCCGTTTCCTCTCAAGAAGGCTCGCCTTGTCCTAACTGCATCCCACACCACCCAGATCACCGGAGAGTGGGTTATTTCTGAACACGGGGTAAAATTTCCCAATCCCGTCTCGGCTGCAAAGGTCAGCTGGGGCTTTCAGGGCCTTGGGCAGGCCCACGCAACTGGTCCCCTCTCCCAATCACCGACCGTGGCAGAAGGGACTGGCGGCTCAAGCCTGGTAATCACAGTACAGGAAAGTACGGGACTTTCACCTCCCACCCAGGACTCAGGCACATATCTGCCTCTGATCTAGGAGGCTGGGAGAAGAGCCTCCCACAAAATCACACCTACTCTGTGTGTAAGAATAAAATCCCACCCACCTGGGACTCGGTAATTTCTCCAGGCAGGAAATCTTTGGAAAACTTCAGTGAGACGGAGCATGCTCGAGGGAGTTAGAATCTTCTGCACTTAGGGGTGTGCTGCTATTTAGCTAGAATTTGGGGGTGGCAAAAACAAAGTGGAAGGCATGAAACAGAAATATTTTAGGGTATTTTAGGACATGTGAATAAAGCTAGATCTGAGACACCTTAATCAACTTTTTTTTTTTTTTTTGGATGAAAGGCTACAATAAAAATCGATTTGTGTGAAACTGAGTCAGCAGAGAAGCGTATCTTCTGTTTTAGCACAGGACTTGGGCTACCACGCTCTAGTGGACAGAGGGGTTCGTTAACCTGAGCTTCTTGGGAAACGACTGGGTTCCGCTGTGAAATCCAAGTCCTCATCCCCAGGCACCCTGGGTGCCCACCCTTCCTGTAGCCTTTCCTTTCCGTTTATATGATCTAGCACTAAGCTTTGTATGAGAAGTCTTCCTGAACTTCTCCTGCAAATCATTCCAAGTACTCTCCTCTTGAGGCTGGCAAGAGCAGACACTGTATCAGAATTTCAGAGTGGTGGTTCTGCCGATGGCACTGCCACTTGGGCACCCTGGCCTAGTGGGCTAAACTGGGTCCAGCGCCCTACTTCTGGTGGCTTGGCACTTTGGGTGACCACTTTGTGGTCACAGACCTCACTCATTGGTTTAACCAGTGGTCACTGAGGACCTACCTTGTGCCAACCCTTGGGTGACAGGCATTAGGTGCCCTATCAAGAGAGCATTGGCAAGGAAATGTGGAACGGCCTCTGACTCTCAACTCCAGCCCAACCCGGCTGAAGTTGCTGGCTGTTAGCTTTCCCCGTGAAAGACCCTGGAGTGAGGACCAGACCAGTTGTTGCTGTCTCCTTGCCACCTCGTGGAAGTGCAAAGGGAGGTCCTCCCCACCTTTCTGGTGATGGCACCAGCAAGTCTGGTCATCAGGGACATGAACTTTGCATAGGACAAAGCTTCAGGGCCAGTTTTCCCAGCGTTTCTCCTGATGTAGTCCAAGAGGTAAATCAGTCCTGGCAGCAGAAGGAACAGCAGGAGAAATCAGTGACTCATCATTTAGAGTCCAAAAAATTTTCACCAACAGATGGCAGGTGGTTTTAACACAACAGTCCTTGCCCTGAAAGTACCTGGGGATCTGGCCAACAGCCGGCAAGCCAGGGAAGTCCTGATGAAGAGATATGTACATGAGCATGACTACGGGCCGGCAGTCACCCCAGAGATCCCACACAAAACACTCCACAAAAAGGTTGACACCAGCCTTGTGGTTTCCATTTCAATGAAAAACCGTGACGTCTAAGCATAAATCACTATCCCCGCCATGCGGTACAGAAGTGGGCATTCCAGGAACTAAGCTCTGCTTTCATCCGTGCTCTTGCCACGATCTCCAGTGGGTTTCTGGAGTCAAATGAAGCCATGCTGCCCAAGAGGCAAAAAAAAGTTCCCGTTTCCAGTTTTTTTAAGGTCTTCACAAGAAGTTAAGATAAAAAGAGGCACAGCTTCCCATAGTTTGAGGTGTGTTTTAGATGAGTGTTTTAGATGGCAAGGTGATCCACGTTCCTACCTTTTAAACAGAACTGCGAAGAAAACTAGATGATTTTACTTTGTTCGGAGTCCGTCTGAGAAGCAGACAGGAACATCTGTTTCCGTAGTCTACTGAGCAGTACCCCGCCAGGAAGTGAAAAGTTTGGAGCCCGTTCACCCTCGCCCCGAGCCTGAACTAACCCAAACCCAGCGAAGGTCAGAGGCCACCGCGGAGGAGTTGACAGAATCCAAGCGGAGCCGACTTCGGGTGACTCACTAACACGCAAGACGGCAACTCACATTATAAAAATAAAATTGGGTGTTTTGTTTTGCGTCTACACTGGTGATGTGACATTTTCCTTTCCCGATTAGGGCAGTTTCTGGCAGCCCCTTCTGACGTCCGTCTGTGTTCCTCTACCTTCAAACCATAGAGGAAGCAGCGGTGCTCCTGAACAATTTATGTGGAAGATCAAGTCTCTGGAGATATTTTTGGATGCACTTGAATCCTATCCGAGGAGGTTGAACAACAGATGAGACATGCCGGCGGGTGCAGTCAAGCAAGCCTGGCTCCAAAGGTCTGCTGTGCTCTGGGGAGCACTGTGGCTCTGTGTTAGGAGCAGACTGCAGGGGCTAGGGTGGAAGAGGGGACACGATCTATGGCCATGGACAGGCACCAGGGGAGAGATGATGTTGACTTGGGCCAGAACAGTAGCCACAGATGTCACCAGAGGTGTCAGATTCTGGACACATAGCAGTTAAGGGGGGAGAAAAGGGCAAGACAGTTTGGCAGGTTGGGATTTACCCAAGTGGATGTCACTTGACCACCTCACCACTGTGGATTGTTCCTGCAAAAAAAAAAAAAAAAAAAAAAAAAA